AGTAATTGTATGAATGAATAAATGAAAACGCGCAGGTTCTACAGTTTAGGATAACCAAAATAGTAAACGTTCCGTGTTGTTGTAGCGTTGCTACTGATCAGCTTATGCAGGAAAGTCTGAGTCTGAGATTTACTTTACACACGCTTACAACAAAATAAATGCCGCTTTTGAACATTTTTGATAGTTCCACATAATAGGAAAAAACGCCGAAAAAGAAATATATATTTTTCGTTCTATAAATATTGCGTTATCTGTATAAAATTTCTAATTGTTAATAATGTTATATTGAATTGAAAATTATTTCCAAATGGTGCAGTTTGAATATCACGTACTTATGTAAAAGCATTAAATACAGTAACGCGAGGAGGTATTCATAAATTAATAAATGAATTCAAAACTTGTAATCACAAAATTTAGACAGCATAGTTGTAAAGATAAAACCACAAAAAAATTAAACAGTTGAGAACCACGTGGTAAAAAATTAGAGTTAAAAATTAAATTGATACTAAATTCAATTTGATAAAGAATAAAATTCACAAAAAAAACGTATAATAAAAAATAAGGCAGCTGTTGTGTGTTGGTATGTAATTGTTAGCTAACAATTAAATTGTCAGTAATTTCAACTTGATAAAGAATAAAATGTTATAAAAAGTGTTACGTAAAAAATATACATTAAAACAAATAAGATACTTGTAGAGTGTATACAGGGTGTTTCTGAAATATATAGCAAGCTTACAGGAGCTGATAAGGCACCATAAAACAAGAAAAGGAAGTAAATGTTTGGTGGACCGAAAGTCCACCGCTTTCGAGAAAAACGTATTGGAATGTACAAGCAAAGGCTAGTCCGGTCTTGATAGAATCACGCAGGGTAATACGGCATTGCAACGCCACATTCATTGTTAGTTTAGATTAAGAGTAATAGACGCTCTTTTAATATTACAGACTTGTATTACGCACGTATGTAGACAGTTGAGGTCATTAGATGTAGATCAATGTGTCAGTGTCATAGGTCACTGCGAAATAGTATTGTTGCATTGACCAATGTGTGAATATCTAGACGTACATTTTCATAGACGCTGGATTAAATGTATGCACGGGTGTGTGTGTCTAATTTACATCGAGAGGGGTAGCCTGATCGGGCCTAAACGGCGACAACCAAATTTGTAAACAATAAGGCGTGTAGTCCAATATTTATAAGATACCAAGAATGTTAATTATGAAAAGGAAGATACGATCCTGAAGTTTAAGGAAGAGAACCGCACGAGCAGCATCAGCTGAATTGCAGTACACTAAGAAGTACCTATGCGTGCAGTACACAGATCAATACGCATAATATGCATGTTCTGGTCTATACTTTATTAAAAGTAATTAACTACTGGTAGGGTAGACCGTGGCAAGAGGAAGCTCGGGGCAGGACGGTAAATGTTCTTTTGTTTATTACTTTTGAAAGCAATACGACGGCGGTTCAATAAGTATCCGTGTTTGAAGACGGAGGACGTTCCTGAGGGAATTGGTGTTGTCATCGTGTGCTGCCATCTATCAAACCACGCCAAAACGAATTTCAGACTGATTGATAGGTAGTTAGACGTGTTTCGTTATTTTCGCTAAGATGGAAAAAGAGCAGTATCGTTCGGTAACTTGCTTTTTGTTTTTGGATGGGAAGAAATGCGAGGAGATGAAAACAAAGTTGGATACTGTTTCTGGAGACATTTCGCCACCTACGACCACAGTTAGATATTGCTTCAACGAATTTTAACGTGGGCAAAGATCCGTTTTTGATAGGAGCGACCAGGAAGCCTGGCAAACGTTGTTACCTAAGAAATCATTTTACGGATTTTTTGGAAAGGAAGAACGATCAACGGACAATACTACAGTGAGTTGTTGGACCGCTTCGACAAAAAATTGAAGGAGACACGGACGCATTTGACGAAAAAGAAGGTGCGTTTTCAACGCGATAACGCACCGGCACATTCATCAGGAGTTGTTGCCGCCATAATGCATGAATTACGTTATGAATTTGCTGCCGCACACCCCGTACTCACTCTATTTAACTCCCTGCGACTTCATCTTGTTCCCTACCATGAAGAAATGACTAGCGAGAAAGAAATGTAGCTGAAACAAGGAAGTCATCGACAGGGGGGATTTTGGAGAGTTCGACAAATCTTATTTTTTGGAGGGGTAAAAAAAATGGCAGGGTCTTTGGGAGAAGTGTATCTTTCTAAAAGGGGACTATGTCGAAAAATAAAAAAAAAAAACAAATTTAAAAAAAAAAAAATGTATCTTCATTCCTAACACGGGTACTTATTGAACCGCCCTCGTAGAGTTTAACACAGCACCATTCGCGCGATGTTCAGTCGCATCACGCGAGTCCAATCGGCGCGTTCGTTTTACTACGGTTTTTTTTTGCTAGGTGAGAAAAATCATTTATTCGTATCCCTTACAATTCATTTTACCCGTTCAAACTTTTCATTTTGCCTTCAGGATAAGGGCAAGATGGAAATATTCATAGTTTTGCAGTATGAGCTGATTTATTAAATATTAATTGTTATTGGTTAAAGTGTTTTGTAGTTTAATAAGATACTTTTCGTGACTGATTAAAATAAAGGATTCATTTATAAACGTTTTTGTTATATCATGTCTTTAAGTTAAACCTTCCGTCTTATATTCCCCTTCCCGGTGCGAGTTTACGAAAAGTGGTATACGTCCACTTGACAGAAATGTATTCACAGACGCAAACTTCATAGCGGCTGAAACAGCAAAAGCTGAAACTTTGCCGTCTGAAAATTTAAATCTTGCATCAACGTCTCAGGTCCAACAACTTCGACGTCAACTTCATTAGAGGCAACCGAACAAATATCGTCCACTCCAGCTCATAATGAGATTACCCATGAAACTACATCTGCTGGAACATCAATCATCGAGTCCACCATCTGAAAATCTAAATATAGAATCGACTTTCAACTCCAACTATATCGGATGTAACCTATGATGAACCATCCATTGTAGTACAAAAAGATACATATTTCTGCTGATCCTGCAGCTGCGGAACGAATGAGTACTGAGTTTTTGCGTCGGCATTCGACTTTTGCACACTTAATTAAAGAAAAGACCCCTAATAAACAAATACAGTCAGCAAAATCCTCGTTTTCCGTAACCCCAGAAAATATCATAGCTAGCCCCAAAACAGTAAGAACCCAAGAGAGAGAAACAAGAAAACGCGGCAAAACTGTAACACTTACAGCTTCTCCGTACAAGTATGATCTCATCAAAGATATAAATAAAAAACAAAAAGAAAAACTAATGCTATTGACAAAAAGAAACCAGACAATAAAATGACTGAACGTTGTTAACGTTGCCAACCAGATAAAAATGTGTACTCATTTATGCCCCATAGCGTTTCCCATTTCCCAGATGGGATATTTGATGTCTGCCATTTGATTCCTAAAGATTGCCAAAAAGAATATCTGATTCAGCGTCATAAAGGATTATAATTATGTTAATTAAAACTATAAGTTTCGTTTTTGTTGTAAGAGATTTTTAATAAACAGTTTGATTTTCATATTTTGACGTTTATTTCTGTTAAGTATCTCATCTTACCCCGGTCTATATATAATATTTTGTTATATTTTTATAATGCTTAAGGAATTATATATATGACACAGAATATTCCTAGGAACAACTTTGGCGAACTCTTCAAACGTAAGAAAAGGTGCACCAAAAAATGTAGTTTTCAATCTTACAAAAACACTGGTCATACAAAGAGATTTCAGCTCCGAAGAGAAGACATACAGTCATCCGTAAAGTCAATTTTATAATCCGCTTAGCGTGGAACTCCTTTTAAAAATAATATTGATGCACTGGTACGATACTTTTTTAACAAGATACCCTTTGAATTGCTACAAATAGTAATATACGTCGTCTACAGAATGCAATGTTTTGTGGGATTCATGAATGTTCGACAAGATCCGTAAGGATATCAATTTGTCGAACTGAATCCACGACGTACCCCTACTAAGTCGAAATTGACATATGTAGTGGTGAGCAAAACCCTGTGTATACTTTTTATCGATATTAGAGGTTGGGATTCATTAGTGAACATTCGCCTATTTTGTAAAACACTGCATTACCGCATTCGAAGTAAAACTTGAGGGTAGCAAGACTCGGTTTGGTTAGGACTAAATTATCTGGGAAACAGGAAATATTTAGACACTGTATTGTAAGAACTAAAAGTATATGTTATTCAAAATAACGAAAAACTTTGCTAGGTTTTCGGGTTTATAACGGGAACGAAACGTGCTTTTTATTTTGCCTGATGTGAATTCGATCGACGTGAAGCGAAAGAACGAACTGTAATGTTTACATTTTGTGCCACTTCTGGAATAATTATTTATCTAAAACGGCAATTAAGTACAAAGATATCTTCAAACTGAAAAACAATATACTGCAGAAATGCGAAAATAAAAAGACAATTGAAAATATGTTTACATTTTTTAATCAGTAGACACTTCTACACATGCAAAGGTGAAAACGAGTACAGTCAAAATTACAGATGATACTTTTGTTTTACTTTTGTTTATTTTCATACAATCCTGTTTTGTCAGTACCGCCTTCATTTTATTTAAATCTCTTACTCCTCCTTCCTAGATGCTAATATTGCTATATTATTTGCAAATCTAAGCATACCAATCCATTCTACATATAAACCAAAATCAAGAATTACGTATCAAGCAGACGAAAAACAACAACACACCAAATGACTGAATTCAACCCTAAAAAACTTTAGTAGGTGTGAGTATAGCCACCACCTACGCTTGGACGAATAAAGATCACGTTATACACGTGCTGTCCGGTAATCACGTGTCCAAATTTATTTTGTTTTGGCTTATCTTGAATGTGAAGAGACCCCAGATAGTTTGAGAATAAGATTGACGCTATCATTTTCCAGATTATGTCAAGTGTTTTTTATTTTAAAAAATCAGATAAACCTATCATCACATTCAAGACATAAATACGCTGATGATCGAATTCTCAGTCGTCATTATGTCGAAAATGTCAATCAAATGCATAATAGCAGGTTTGACCCTGCTACTTGTTCATAATTCATCAGGTAAGCGTTTTATATGTCATTTAAGTGATTAAGTACGTGAATTTTGTACGACCAAAATTTAAGCAAACAGATTTTATGCGTTGCTTAATCTTCAGCGAGGTCATATTCTTAAACTGTAAAATAACTAAGATTTAACACACGTAAAATGCTTGTACTCGGAGTTTATAACATACGCTACTGGATTGTTATAGTGGTGCTTGACAACGTTACCCGCTTATGACTCATTTATTACTTTACAATCTGCGAAATTCAGTCACTGTGATTGTACGTTATAGTGTTGGAACTTTAAGATTAAATGAAAGTGTTTCACATTATAAAGTATTTAAATTTAAAGGTATGAAAATATTGCCTTAATAATATAAATTTTTGAACGCTCAATAAATTAAATGACTTCCGAAATGAGAGAAGCAATTAAACAGATTTGTATTCTATGAATATACTTGAAGAAAATTACTAACGATATTCAATTTTTCTTACATTTTCTTAATATACCATCTAATTGAATAAATCTATTACTAAGGTCAACAATGTAACACGCGATCGTTCCAACGCTTGTGTGTCACCGATGGCGATAATGTGGTACTCGAAAACGAAAGGCTATCAATGACTATTAGCAAGACAAGGGGACAGATCAGTGCACTTTATTACAATTCGCGCGTTGATAATGGTATCAGATCAACCAATTTGTTGAGAGGCGGCGGCTCTGGTTATTACATTGCCAATATTGGTGTGGACGGCAACAGTTTGACAGTCGGGCCTACTATAGCAGATATGAAAATTACACAGAGTGTGAGTGTCACGCTAGAAGTGAGAGATACTTTACCGAAAGTCTAATACACGAAAATACATTCTTCTAATGATGTCAATTACGCCAATATTTTCATCAATATCCCCTAATTTTGTTAATTCAAGAAATTGATATTTGCTATTATTAAATTCGATGATTCTTCTACTGATAAAATTATTACTAATTCTGATAAAATGTGTGCCTAAAACAGTAAGACTGCATTGAGTGTAATCTTTAAACGTAATGAATGATAAGAAAACAATTGAACTAGTGAGATATGTAAATTTGATAATAGCTGGCGTGGCAACAATGAACCTCTGAGTCAAACGTATTAATAAAGGAAACTTGATAAGGTTCAAGTATTGCTAATATAAATCAATTGTTTTCACTAAGTATCCTGGAAGTCGATCATCTGAATGAATAACCATAGTTAATTATAATCCTTTTGAATATTAATTCAATTTTTTACCCACCACAAACTACCTCGCCGGAAACCGAACCCGCGACCTTTGGTTTTACGCACTAATAAGTTCGGTTTGTTGTTGTTGCTGCCTTCAGCTTTCGTAGCTTAATGGTAAGAGGATTGGTGCGTAAAGCCAAAGGTCCCGGGTTCGATTCCCGAAGAGCGTCTAACAACAACAAATTTTTCCTCATTAACCTGAGTTGGGTAAAAACTTGAGAATGAATTTTCACATTAATATTTGATATTAACCACTATTAAATCTCAAAGTGTGTTTAATATATATAGTATGATACCTTTAATTTTTACATTCTTTCTGTTTGATCGTTATTTGAAGAATGATAATAATTGAAATTTTCTAAATAAACCAGGCTGAGTTAATTGACCTGGCATTCACACACAGGAACACAAGCAATTGGCCAATTAACTTCGAATTTCACTTGGTCCTTGAAAGGAATTCATCCATATTTTACTACTACTCCATTCACAAGTACTTACGAGATGGTTACACTGTCGGTCAGCTAAGATGGGCAATAAGAGCCAACGCGGACACATTCAAGTTTTACAGCGTAGACGGAAAGAGAGCGGGGCCCACGCCCACCCAGCAGGCCATAAACTCAGCTCAATCTGTACAAGATTGGACCTATCTGTTCGCAGATGGATCAGTTTACTCAAAATATCAGCAAATATCGGCTAATGAAGACATAAACACTGTGTTCGGTATTTATGGCGATCGCATTGGACTGTCTCTGCTGCAGACACACAAAGAGTGGGTCAGCGGTGGACCATTCAAACAGGTTAGCAATTATTTAGCCCAAAATCATAATAAACAATTACCAATCAAATTATACATTGGTAAAATAATTCGAAGTGGTCTGTATTCTGTCGAAACTGCCAGACGCGAATCGCGATTTCGATCTTTTCGGATCACATCAGCGCGTCGCAGACAGTTTCGACAGAATACTGCCCAATTTTACCTGCGCCCCCTGCGCGTTTTATAAAATACCACAAATGGCGCGGTAAACGCCATCTGTAGTACAACGCTACATTTTAGGATTGCGTATGCTCACCAAGTTCCATTTAAATAAATGGATATGTACTTGCTGAAAAGAACTCCGGCATAGCTCACCACTACGTGATAGGCACGTTACCATAATCGAATAAAATAATTTTTGGATCTCATCAGCGCGTCGCAATACAGACCACTTCGAATACGTAATCCTATGATAAAATGTATCATTGTTCTACAGATGGCGTTTACCGCACATTTGTGGTATTTTGTAAATTGGTGTAAAGTGAGGTTCATGAGCAATTTACGTAATTGAATTACAATCTTCGATAACTAAATCATGTTTGATAAATATTAGTACATCAATTTCCACTAATATTTTCTTGAAATTACTTCCATTTAACCAATTTCATAGGATCTAACAACGCACACCGGACAAATGCTGCTCTTCCATGAACACTCGGGACATTACGGCACTCCAGGACTGGTGCCCACCGAGGGATGGGCCAAAGTGTACGGTCCGATCGGCTTCTATCTCAACGATGGCCAAAGTCTTTCTCAAATGTATTCCGACGCTCAGAGACAACTCAGTGATGAGGAGAAGAAGTGGCCGTACCAGTTTGTCACCGCACCAGAATACAATGCCCAAGGGAGAGGCAGTGTGTCGGGGGTACTCCATGTGGATGGGTCGCCGAATGAAGAATGGGTATACCTTATTCTGACTGAACCTCATGTCGATGACCCCCAGTTAGAAACGGCTACCTACATGTATTCGGCAACTGCTAAAGAAAATGGTAATTTGAAATTATTACTTTTATTTTCAATAATCGGATTAATATTTTGATATCGAAATTCTATTGAAAGTAATTAATTCACCTTCAGGTGCGATCTGATAAATTTACTAATTCTTACATCAGGCGCCAGGTCATTTTGAATCTCATTTTAAAATATTTTGAACTTCATTTATGCACAATAGAAACAATTACCCATATCAGAACGAAGAAATTATTAATAGATTCTTAATAAGAAACTGAATACTGAAAGTTTTGATTACCCTCAGGTGAATTCACAATACCAGCTGTGAGACCAGGCACGTACAAACTACAAGTAATAGCTAAGGGTGTAGTTGGAAAATACGTTCAAAACAACATTAATGTGCAGGGAAATAAAAATAACGATCTTGGCACGATCAATTGGAACCAGGAGAGCAATGGTCAATTGCTTTGGCAGATCGGTGTACCTGATAGAAATTCGGCAGAGTTCAAATCGCCACCTGGCTTTCCATCACCGATTCCTAATTTAGAAGGTACTTCATAGCAAAGCTATTGTCTAACCAAATGAGTTTCAGAGGATGAGTAATAAAAGAGAACAAATGCGTGCAGGGTTGACAAATATAGTGATTGGTGTGAAAATCCTTTTCTGCATTAATTATTTGCATTTGGTTTTTATTTCTTGATCANTATTACTTTAGATCGTAATGTTAAAAAATCTTCAGGAATATAAAAACACATATTATTTGTCTCTATCGTCTCCTTATGATGTGAATGAATTTATTTTGAAGGTAAAACAGTTTTGAAGCTGTTATAAAAAAACACTCCCAACATAATGTAAGCTAATTTAACTTTAGAAATCAAAATGTGATAATTTTCTTAGAGTACCGCAAGTTTGGCACATGGCTCAGATATTCCATAGAATTTCCTAATGATCCAAATTTCACGGTTGGCGTCAGTGATCCAGCTAAAGACTGGTGCTACTTCATGCCCATGATCAAGACACCTGGCTTTCCTGACCAGCTTAACTTGGTCAATGTCACCCAAAATATACAACCTACCAACTGGAAGGTCAGGTTCGATTATAACGGGTCAAGCGAAGGGACCGCTACATTGACACTGGGATTAGCTGCCAGGGTCCGAGCCGGAATTCGTGCAGTGATTAACGGTCAAGAGATACTTATGTTGGACAGCTTTGATGGGCCGGTAGGCGATTCTGCACTATTTCGTCAAGCAGCGCACGGTATTTTCCGCCAGCAGATTGTGACGTTCAGTCAGTCACTGCTGCAGGAGAAGAATCTTCTGGAGTTCACACCTCCTGGCGCAGTGAGTCAAAACCATAGAGACAGAATGGTGATGTGGGATTTCTTGAGACTGGAAGTCAGCAACTAATTGTGTTTTCATGTATTTTATAAAAAAAGGTTTATTACGAGTTGCCAGTCAATAAAAATTTTATAATTGTCTGTTTTGATAAATACTATTACAAACTGCTAGAGAGGCGAGAGTTAGTCCACATTAATTATACTGCACAGTACTGATTAGTAACTAATCATCAGTTTAACCTTCTTTACGCAAAGTAGCACGTTAATAATTTTTCTATTGACACCTACGCATTTGAAATTATTTCCTGGTTTTTAGACAACGCTAAAGTTCTGGTATAGCGACTACGACAGGCTTCAGTGGGTCAACTCTCGTCGTAAGCAAAATATATTAAGTTATTATATTGTTGCTAGCCCTACTTAGCTATACATTTTTACAAAGTATATTTTTACGAAAAGAATGACTTTAAACTTATCAACTAAAAATTAATCGGTGTAGTAAATAACAAAAACAATACCCAAAGCTAGCAATTAGATATTAGACAATCACTTCGTTTGCGGCCAAAAACGACACGTAAAGAAGAATGTTCAAAATTTCAACATTATTGTTGATATTTTCTGTCAACTCAGGTAACTATAGTTGCAGTACAAATTATTTCGTTGTTAATGAACAAAGCATTCACTAGCTACTACTAGAAATGAGAACAATAGTGGAAAGTGCGCGCTCAATGCTGCTCCATGGAAATGTTCCCGTCGAATTACGGTCCGAAGCCGTGAACACAGCTGTATATATCTTAAACAGAACATTACCAATAAAACAAGAAGATGAAGTGGAAATGAGTGCGTTTGAAAAATTGTTTGGCCAGAAACCAGAAATGCAACATTGCAAACTGTTCGGTTGTACCCCCTATGCATCAATTCCAAATCAGCTCAGAAGAAAATGAAGCCCGAAAAGCAAGAAATTAATGTTTGTGGGATTTGAAAAAGAATCAAAGCTTTATCGATTGTTGGATTCAATCAAAAGAAGGATAGAAATAAGCTCAGATGTAACATTCAATGAAAGCAAGCCATTTTAGAAGAAAATAAAGAGAATTTGGAAAATATTCCCATAAAATTTGGAAACTACGAAGCTGACACAGACCCAGAAACAGAATTAGAAATAACAGAAGACAATGACCAAAATATTCGTGAAGATCAAGAAAACATTCGAGAATTGAGAGATCGAAGTCTTATTAAGCGTCCCGACTATTGTCACGCCCAATTTGGAAACGGTGGCTTGATCATTTAAGTTATGTCGGTAATTGGTTAATTATTTATTTTAATTACCCGATTATAATGTAATTTAATTATTTTAGCGTGACTGGGGGTCAGGTACTAAAATTATACGAGGGCAAGTTTTAAAAACAATAACAACTTTATTAGATATAAAATGAAAAAGAGAATCGAATTGAATATTTACAAGAAGGATCATCCCCTCAATGTTGATCAACACACAAAAAAAATAAGTCTGGTTTACTTACATTGACAGGAGCGTCGCAACCATCATCGCCCAGGGGGTAGTGTCACCAACACACAGAANGTGCGTTTGAAAAATTGTTTGGCCAGAAACCAGAAATGCAACATTGCAAACTGTTCGGTTGTACCCCCTATGCATCAATTCCAAATCAGCTCAGAAGAAAATGAAGCCCGAAAAGCAAGAAATTAATGTTTGTGGGATTTGAAAAAGAATCAAAGCTTTATCGATTGTTGGATTCAATCAAAAGAAGGATAGAAATAAGTTCAGATGTAACATTCAATGAAAGCAAGCCATTTTAGAAGAAAATAAAGAGAATTTGGAAAATATTCCCATAAAATTTGGAAACTACGAAGCTGACACAGACCCAGAAACAGAATTAGAAATAACAGAAGACAATGACCAAAATATTCGTGAAGATCAAGAAAACATTCGAGAATTGAGAGATCGAAGTCTTATTAAGCGTCCCGACTATTGTCACGCCCAATTTGGAAACGGTGGCTTGATCATTTAAGTTATGTCGGTAATTGGTTAATTATTTATTTTAATTACCCGATTATAATGTAATTTAATTATTTTAGCGTGACTAGGGGTCAGGTACTAAAATTATACGAGGGCAAGTTTTAAAAACAATAACAACTTTATTAGATATAAAATGAAAAAGAGAATCGAATTGAATATTTACAAGAAGGATCTTCCCCTCAATGTNGATTATAATGTAATTTAATTATTTTAGCGTGACTGGGGGTCAGGTACTAAAATTATACGAGGGCAAGTTTTAAAAACAATAACAACTTTATTAGATATAAAATGAAAAAGAGAATCGAATTGAATATTTACAAGAAGGATCATCCCCTCAATGTTGATCAACACACAAAAAAAATAAGTCTGGTTTACTTACATTGACAGGAGCGTCGCAACCATCATCGCCCAGGGGGTAGTGTCACCAACACACAGAATTTGCCACCTAGTACTCTTTTTAAGGGTAGACTTTATCCCTTCGCGTTCCGGAATCGACTGATTGCGAATCGACTATCGATTCCCGTTCACGCGTTAAACGTTTTGATGAACCAGTGATTATTTGACCACAGTTCAACATGGGTCATTCACTGGTTCCAGAAGTTTCTCTGGTGTTGCTGATCTAATGACAAAAAACGACGAAGTCCTTATTGATGACTTCGCGAAGTTCAATAATTTTCCTAATGACCAGAGCTATCGAATTAGCGTCAAATTCCGCTTGTAAAATAGATAATTGTTTTCACTTGCTGCCTCGTTGCTGTGTAATGCCAAATATGCTTATTTTGCAAGTGAATGAACTCGATATCCGTTTTATGAATTTGAAAATATTTAATTAATTTTGAAATATGTTTTGAGGTCTAAAATGGTTTTTTGAATTGCATTAAAATTTCACTGCGTGACACTATTATGGACCGGCAGTTTACTATTCGACTACTTCTTCCAACACTTATGAAGAAGCTATCCAAGATGAAAATTCAAACGAATGGAAATTAGCCATGCAAGAAGAGATGAACGCTTTGTTAAAAAACAATACATGGAAACTAGTAGCAAGACCAGAAAACGTCAACTTAGTGGACAACAAGTGGGTTTTCCGGATCAAAACAGACTCAAACGGTAAACCGACGCGTTACAAAGCTCGACTCGTTACAAAAGGTTTTTCACAAAAAAAAGGATAGACTACAACGAAACCTTTGCCCCCGTAGTGCGTTACGATTCCGTGCGTGTGCTATTCGCTTTAGCGGTTGAAAAAGACTTGAAACTGAAACATTTTGACATAAAAACAGCGTTTCTTTACGGTAAACTCGAAGAAGACACTTTTATGAAGCAGCCGAAAGGTTTTGAAGACAGTGAAAATCGCGAAAAAGTGTGCAAACTAAATAAAACCTTGTACGGTCTAAAACAAGCGTCGCGAGGATGGAATCAAAAATTTGTTGTGCATGTTCAGTGGGCAATTTGGCAATGATGCTTTATATCTAGCATTATATGTTGACGACGGACTTGTGCTTTCTTACTAAGGTTCGTAGCTGTTGTGTGGGTTTGAAGGAGGTTCTGATGTTATGACGCTTCAATAACTTCCCGATGCGATCCGTGACCGTTTTAATATATGGTAGGGAGGCGAAACCTACGGGCGGTGGTTGAGGTGTCTCAGGTACAGTTCTCTTGGGATGAAGGGCACGTTTGATCTCCTGTGACGTATAGCCATTGGATTGAAGGGCTTGATCTAGATGGCGGAGTTCTTGATCTAAAAGAGAAGCTTCACAAATGCGTATAGCCATTGGATTGAAGGGCTTGATCTAGATGGCGGAGTTCTTGATCTAAAAGAGAAGCTTCACAAATGCGATTAGCTCTATGAATAAGGGTTTTCAACATGGCTCGCTTCTGCGCTGGGTGACCACAGCCGGAACCTTCTGAAGATGATCTGCCGCCGTCTTATCTGTCACAAATTATCCACCGGCCAGTCCTCATCAGGACTACAATGGTCACCCTACGGAGCAGCACAGCCCTGTTCCACGACGCGCAGCATGTAAAATAACGACACCGCCCAGGCCAGCCGCAACGTAACGCCCAACCTTGCCACAACACGCCACCGTTCACCATGTCCCTTGACCGACTGGATGTCAAATTGCCACCCTTCGTGCCGTCCGACCCCGAACTCTGGTTTTGTATAATCGACCGCAGTTTTGAGGCCTACGGAATTACATCCGAATCAACGAAGTTTGAATATGTACTAGGCAACCTTGACCCTCACTATGCGGCGGAAGTGCGTGATATCATTGTAGATTCAATTTCTCCAATCTCTCGATGAAGTGGGTGGAGTCCTTGACGAATGAGTCGCTCATGCCTACATGCGGCTGTAAACGTCTGGTGAGATATTTCGCGAGAGCATAGGTTGGAGATCCGATAGCGCTAACGATAGGACGAAGAGGGATGCCTGGTTTATGGATTTTTGGCAGGCCGTAGAGTCTAGGTGGTAGAGCTTCCGATATTATCAGATTACGCTTATCTTCTGCTGACAGTGACGCACCTTTAATGAGGCTCCTGGTTTTTGCGAGGATTTTGGCAGTAGGATCGCTTTTGAGTATCTTATACGTTGATGGGTCTAATAGATCTAAAACTTTCTGTTGGTAGTCCTTGCTGTTCAGTACTACGGTGGCGTTACCTTTATCTGCAGATAGAATAATAATATCTTTATTATTGTTAAGTGTTTTCAGCGAAGTACGTTCTCGATTGGAGATGTTCGATTTTGGTGGTTTTGCATATTGGAGAATTCTAGCAGACTCACGGCGTATTTCTTCAGCTTCGGCTGGTTGTAGTTGCCTAATGGATGACTCAACGTTGGCTATAATGTCCTCCAAGGGTAGTTTGACTGGTACTACTGCAAAATTGCCTCCCTTTTCGAGTACGGAGCGTTGATCATCGGTTAGTGGATAGTCGGAATAATTGACCACAATGCGATTTTTGTTCAAAGTCGGTGGAGTATTTTTCGGAAGTAACCGTTCGAATTTACTTTTCTGGCGCTCGGAGGTGGTGGTCATCTTAAGGGCCATAGAACTGAAAGTAAGTCTATCAATTTTATCCCAATCATCCTGATTAAGTTTCCTCGTGAGAAGTA